TTCATGCGACGCCAGCCAATACCCCCACTTCGTGGGGGGGCAATGCAAGCTCTACCAAACATCCACACGACTCTCGGGAACCACCCACACCCAGCTTCCCGCCCTATGACGTCAGGACACTTCACTTCGTGGCGCGCGGACGATCGTGGATACTACACTGGCGTGGAGTACACACCCGCAGAGGTTAATCACTTGTTTGGGCCCCGCATGTGCCCCGCATCGTGCATTTGTTGCGCATGATATGAGAGCAAGACAGAGAGAGAGAGAGAGCAAGACAGAGAGACAGAGAGAGAGAGAGAGAGAGAGAGCAAGACAGAGAGCCAGAGGAGAGCTACGGTGCGATTCGTGTGATTTTATGATGCGCGGTGCTAAAATTCTTAAAAACCCAATGTTTTTGGAGATTTCGGCGTGCGCGCGCGAAGAAAAAACGAATGTGTCCCGCATGGTATTATTTGACAGGGATGATGGCCCTGGCAGGTGCGCAACCGTTGTCGCAGAAGTTCGAAAAAGTTGCTCGCAAAAGCCCGTTTGACAGAAATGTTTAAAAAGTGTTGGGTTTCCTACGAATCCGCAAGAGCGCGCGGGATGAGATTTTGACATTTTTTTGTTGAAAAACCATTGGTTTTTTGATGTTTTTATGTTAAAATCGCTACGAACACTAAGGTTTTGGAAGGATTTCGTCTTGCGCGCGCGAATGTCCACTTTACCTTATTTTTTGCAAGGGATTCTTGAAATTTGATTATATTAGAACAAGAAATGTCATTTTATAGTGTTTTTTGCAAGGGAAAACGGAACAAAACAACCGGATCCGGACACAATCGTTTTGCCTGAGCTTCCTCACGAAAATGATGAAAATGTAGCTGCGGCCTAGGCGCGGCGGGGGGGCCGTGCACCAGGGGTCCCAACAATAATTATTCTTTAGAAGTAATAATGTTCAACAACAACAACAACAACAACAATCACTTTACCCGAACGCTCAGTGTTCTCACCAGTGCCAGGGTTTTCATGCGACGCCAGCCAATACCCCCACTTTGTGGGGGGGCAGTGCAAGCTCTACCAAATATCCACACGACTCTTCGCCACCACCCACACCCAGCTTCCCGCCCTATGACGTTCGGACACTTCACTTCGTGGCCTGCGGACGACCGTGGCTACTACACTGGCGTGGAGTACACACCCACAGAAGTTGTTAGGACAGCGCGCGCGGGTAGAAATTTTGAAAAGTCGTGCAGGTGTTTTTCGAGGACCTACGGTGCGATTCGTGTGATTTTATGATGCGCGGTGCTAAAATTCTTAAGAACCCAATGGTTTTTGGAGATTTCGGCGTGCGCGCGCGAAGAAAAAACGAATGTGTCCCGCATGGTATTATTTGACAGGGATGATGGCCCTGGCAGGTGCGCAACCGTTGTCGCAGAAGTTCGAAAAAGTTGCTCGCAAAAGCCCGTTTGACAGAAATGTTTAAAAAGTGTTGGGTTTCCTACGAATCCGCAAGAGCGCGCGGGATGAGATTTTGACATTTTTTTGTTGAAAAACCATTGGTTTTTTGATGTTTTTATGTTAAAATCGCTCCGAACACTAAGCTTTTGGAAGGATTTCGTCTTGCGCGCGCGAATGTCCACTTTACCTTATTTTTTGCAAGGGATTCTTGAAATTTGATTATATTAGAACAAGAAATGTCATTTTATAGTGTTTTTTGCAAGGGAAAACGGATTACAACAAAACAACCGGATCTGGACCCCATCCACTTTTCTGAAGCTTTCGCGAAAAAATGATGAAAATGTAGCTGCGGCCTAGGCGCGGCGGGGGGGCCGTGCACCAGGGGTCCCAACAATAATTATTCTTTAGAATTAATAATGTTCAACAACAACAACAAACAACAACGAACAACTTCAACAACGAGAATCCGCACCGCGGAATTCCACTTCAGCCACGCACCCAGGGACAGTGAATGACCGTTCGGCCCCCTCACTCTGACAAAATGCCAATATCCCTGTTCATTTCATCATTATCCTCTCCATCAGTCTTTTTCCTCCACCTAAGCATCCTCCTGACTATTCTCCCTCTTCCCCCTCGCTCCCGTCTCTCAGCCCACACTTCCTCCCCTGATGAGAGCTTCCTTCCGCCGCTCGACGACGGCACGAAGGTGCGCATCCTCGACGACGTCGGCAACGATGCAGATTGTGAACCCGAGGAGGTATGCAACGCCCTCGGCCCTAATGTTCCGGCCGCGGAGTTCGCAGTCGACGGTTCGTGCAGCGTGCCCGTGCTTGACGCAGCTCGTCGAGCAGGGTGTGCCATTGCGCTGCTGGGCCCGCCGGGCGACAGACCACCCCGAGTGATGTTTGGAGCAACCCCTGCGTCCCTACCGCAGCGGTCGGCTCTGGCTGAACACCTGTCGCTTGCATACGTCGGACAAGTGGCCGATCGGCCCGTTGATGTCCATGCCTACTACATGGCAGCCGTGCTTGAAGCATCCAGAAGCCTTGATGATCAGTTGCGGGCAGGTGCCCATTACGGCTGTGTCAAGGCGCTTGGTCAGCAGATGCCTGGCTTTCACCACACTCGGTCTGTGCAGCACGTGAAAGCCCATCGGTTGTGTGAGCAGTATTCCACACTCACTCAGGCTGCCAAGGGATTGACCGACGCCAATGTTGTAGCAGACGTGTACGCCAAGAAGGCGGTCTCCCTGCACGCCCCCCTGTCGTTCGAGCTCGAGGCGCAGCTGGAGGACTGGGTGCGGATCTCGGCAAGTTTCGTCCGTCTTGCCGTCGCGGCCCCCCCCTCTTCGACAGTGTGCGTCGTTGGACACAAGTGAACGCGTCCATTTCCAGAGTGCATGTGCAGCGCACGTGTTGGCACGAGTGGCGTCGCACCGTGCTCGGCGCTCGGTGCGCGCAGTGTTTGTGTATAGCGTGCGATGGGCACGACAGGCCGATGTCAGGTTGTAGAGGCACGCCTGCGTACCTCAATGCTTTTGTGCGTGAGCTCTTCGGGCACACGTTGATTGCAGTCAATCAGGGAGGCCAGACTCTTGCGAATCCTGGCTGTTGCAACCCAGTGTGTGTGTGTGTACGAATTGTGGCGCTTGGGCTCTGCAGTCCAGGCGTTCTAAGTTTGTGCGAGCCCCCCACCAGGAAGGGGCTCGAACTGCTTGCGAATATGCGCAAGGGCGTGGGCCCACGCAAGAGGCTCGCGCGCAAGGTTGACGCCGCCCTCCCAGCCCACGGTCTCGTGAATCGTGCTGTGCAGCGGCCTGAGCTTGAGACCGCACGCGTTTCCAAAGCTCCTTCCTCCGAGGGCCCCCGTTCCTATGTCACCAGGATGGCTGCCCTTGCCGAGAGAATTCGACTGAAAGAGCAGTCAGTGTAATTTTCTCTCTTTGTGGGTGGTGCGACCTCGCCGTGTGTCTCGATGCGTCGGTCGCCCCCCCCCCCCCCAGTGGCAAGTTCGCCGAATGTTCCGCAGCGCTGTGCGGGCATCAGGGCCCCTGAGGCTCTGTTGTGTTTTCCTTGTCGCACCATCCGTCTCCGAGGCGTTGTCTCATTTCATCTCACCACACTCCTCCCCGTCCATCGTCCTTACACTCCGCATCTCCATTATATATATATATATATATATATATATATCATCGGTCCTTCGTTTTTTTCTTGCGCTGCCTCTGCCTGTTCCTCGCCTGTAGATCCTCCGCCCCTCTTCCTCTTCCTTTCCATCCTCCTTCCTCCCTCCTCCAGCGTTCGTCTTCCCCCCCCTGGCCTGCTTTGCTGGGGGTGCCGGCGTTGGCATTGCGGGGGTCCTCTGTGTCGGTTGCTGGCCCTTTTGGCCCAACCCCCCCGGGCAGTACATTCAGCTCCCCACGAAGCGACGGTCCACAAAATCCCCCCTGTGGGTTGGGGCGTGCGTCGGGCGTTAAGTTTCGGCGGTCTTTGCAGTGGGCCTCGTCGTCGTTGTCGTCGCTGGCTTTGCGGTCCTCGGCGCCGGCCCGCTCACGAATTCTTCACGTTTCGCGTATCCCCACCAGCCCATCTCAAAACAGCAACTCTAGCGAAGCATGCCGACAGTCGTGTTTTTCAAGCGTGTTTCCGCCTGCCCCCGCATATCTCCCCTGTTCCTCCTTCCTCCCGCCTCCTTGTACATCCTCCTTGTGGTGGGAGCGGGAGAAGGACGAGGCGGAGGAGGAGGGAGAGAAAACGCTCCTCGTGGTTTGAGTCGTTCGGGCTTCTCGTCCTGGTGTGAGTCGTTCGGGCCCTTCTTCCTGGTGTGAGTCGTTCGGGCTCTTCGTGGTGTGAGTGTTCGGGCCCCTCGTCCTGGTGTGAGTCGTTCGGGCCCCTCCTCCTGCCCGTCCAGAAACGACGCCCAGGCGAGTAGAGGGTCGTCCTGATGGGCTTTTCGGCGTCTTGGGTGCCTCGGGGGGCCTCTTTGGGCCGTTTGGGATCCTCTTGGGGGCCTCCTGGGGGCCTCTTGGGGCCATCTTGGGGCCTCTTGGTGCCTCCTGGGCGCTTCTTGGGGCCATCTTGGAGGAAATCGATCAAAGAAGAGGGGAGCTTTAATTAGCGCTGCCCCCTGGGACCAAAACCTCAGTAAAATCAATGATTTTGGCTTGAAAGAAGAGGGAAGCTTTAATTAGCGCTGCCCCTTCAGAAGGCCAAAATGGGGCCAAAACCGTAGTAAAATCAATGATTTTGGCTTCAAAGAAGAGGGGAGCATTTTTCTGCCTCCCCCCGTCGGGGCCAGAATCCTCGTGAGGGGTGTCGTTTTTTAGCCCTCCCAGGAGTCGAAAAAAAGACCCTTCCAACGACCCGCGGGACGCCCTCTCCAGGCCCAGGGGGAGGGGGTAGGGGGAGGGGTAAACCCCTCCCCGAAGGGGAAGAAGGGGGGTTGAGAACAGAGAGAGCTCTCTAAACCACTCACGCCCAAAGGGCTGGTGGGATTTATGCTCGCGAAGTTCCCCACGTCTCAATGTTCCAACTCCTCTTCCTGCCTCTCGCCAGAAATGACGCGCCGGTCCTTGGCTCAAGCAGGCCGCGATCGTAGGGGCACGGCTCTGGCGACAGGTCGGGCTCGTCCGGCAGGACGGCCCTCCCGCCAGCCCCAGCGGACGACGAGGGAGAGGGACGGGGGAATCGCATGCGGCAAATAGGTTCAATCATAATGTGTCGTAGGTCCGCGTGGATTTCCAACAGTTTGATGATACAGATGGTCTAGTTTTTGGGGGAGGAGGCGGTGGAGGAGGAGGTTACAGTCAGACTGGAGCCGCTACTCTGTGCACTGCGGAGCGTTTAATTTTTCTTTCTCCCATCTCCGCCGCCTTGTGTAGCAGCTTGGGGCTATCTCAGGCCAGGGCCCAGAGCAGATTGGCCTCACGGGGGACGAATTCGGTTTGAATGTGCGTGTCACCCTGGTTGAGATGGAGGCTTCAGGTGGTCGGGAGGTCGGAGGAGGCCCTGCGCGGTCCCTGTGGGAAGACGCTGATGGAACGAGGAGGGGGAGGTCGAGTAGGGACGAGCAGGAGGGTTAGCAGAAGGAACAGAAGGAGGAAACGAGCAGGAGGGGGAGGAAAAGGTGGAACAGGACTGGTAGGGTAGGGTAGGAAAGGCCTTATTTGCTCTAGGAGGTTGGCTGGTTGCACTGGGGATCGTCGCATGGGCAGGACGCGATTTAATCCCTTTCGCGCTCTTTGTTCGGATTCACACCAACCATATGCAGTACCAGTTGAAAATCGGGCTCGCATCAAGAAGGAGTAGGTAGCGTACCCGATGTTATAATCATTCGTTGCTGGAGTTGCCGCCGTGGTGGAGGCGATGGCAGCAGGAATTCTTGGAGAGCGGTGGTTATCAGGAGCGGAAGAGAGTAGTAACACGAACACGAACGATGAGCAGGTGGGGTTGGGATGAAGGATGGGAGGGGCGACAACCACGGCAAGAGGACGAGCAGTTGCATAGGGGAGGAGAGGAGGAGGAGGAGGAGGAGGAGGCGAAGGACGAGAGGGCATAGAGGGAGGGGGACCGAATGCTCCACGGGAGAGGGGGGGGGGAAGGGGCGGGGTCGAGAGGGATGGGAAGGGAAGGTGGGAGGATGGGTCGGCTACGGGGCAAGGAGGGGGGTAGAGGAGAAGACAGAGGGGGAGGAGCAGGGGGAGGAGGAGGAGGAGGAGGAGGAGGAGGAGGAGGAGGAGGAGGAAGAGGATAGGGGATAGGGATCAGGACGATGACGGGGATGAGAGCGATGAGGAAGCGGGCGGGGCGATGTGGATGCGCGGAGGAGGAGCGAAACTCAACGAGCGAGGATGGAGGTGGGCGGCTCCCTCACCTTCCTTTCCCTCCCCCATCTTCGTTCCCTTCCTCTCGCGCGGCCTCCCTCACTGTTCCCTCCACCCTCCCTCCTTCCATCTAACGTTATTCCCTCCTGCTCTAATCCCTCACTTCGCGCCATGTCATTCTCTCTCCTCGTTCCCTTTCTTTTATCATCCATCACCCTACCCACCATTCGTATCTTCCCACTGATCTTCCCACTGGCTCCCTGCGGGGTGCTATCTCCGTCCCCCCTTCCCCTCTCTCGTCTCGTTTTTGCGTTCCTATCCCCGCTCCTCTTTTTCAGCGCCATCACCACTCGCAGCAGCACCAGCATCAGCAGCATCGTAAGCATCAACGCAACCGCCGCCATGATCATTATCATCAGCATCAGCATCATCATCATCATCATCATCATCATCATCATCATTATCATCATCAGCATCGTCATCAGCGTTGTCATCATACTCAGCAGTAGCATGAATTGTATCATCATCAGCTGCAGCAGTGTCGTTATCCTCACCATCGCCATCATCAGTACCGCCATCACCGACATCATCATTATCTCCATGACCACCATCATCATCGCCGGCATCATCACCAGCATCGCCATCATCATCATCATCATCATCATCCTCATCATCATCATCATCATCATCAGCATCATCATCATCATCATCACCATCACTATCAGCATGATCATGTTCCGTCTCCTCGGCCTCATCATCATCCTCAGTATCACCATCAGCATCGTCATTCTTATCATCAGCAGCATCATCACCATCGCCACCGTGGTCAACATCAACACCGTCAGCACCATCATTTTGATTATCCCTCTTCCCGTGCCCCTCTCTCTTGCCCCCCCTTGCGCAGGATGCGGTTGACCCTAGAGCTGTTGCAGCAGGCCCCCCAGAGCCTCAACCCGGCGCAGCAGCGCCAGCTTCTGCTGCGAGGAGGGCAGGGGATGCAGGAGGGGGGCTGGAGAGGAGGGATTCAAATCGAGCAGGAGGAGCAGGATCAGGAGGAGGAGAAGGAGGCGGAGGTGTAGCATCGCGGTGAAGCCACGGGGCCACGAGGGAAACGGGTCCTCGAGCGTCTTGGAAGTGTCTCGTCGTTTGTGGTCACCTCGGGGACTTCCCGTGGTCCCAGGGATCATCAGAAACGTCTCGCGATGAGTAATCGGTCCCGGCGCGAGGCACCAGGGTCCATGACCCCCTTCCCCAAGACCATGCTCTTTTGTTGTTGTTTGTTGTCGTCGTCCCACCCGCAACCCGCCCCGCGACCCACCCGCGACCCACCCCGCGACCCACCCCGCGACCCACCCGCGACCTACCCCGCGACCCACCCGCGACCCACCCCGCGACCCACCCCGCGACCCACCCCGCGACCCACCCCGCGACCCACCCCGCGACCCGCCCGCGGCCCACCCCGCGACCCACCCGCGACCCACCCGCGACCCACCCGCGACCCACCCGCGACCCACCCGCGACCTACCCCGCGACCCACCCGCGACCCACCCGCGACCCAAACCACGTTCAAGGTACAAACCACATTTTCGGCGCCTGCGGCGGGCATCTTTTGCATTCGTTTCAGGTGGAGAGCCCGCGGCCCACCCGCGACCACGTTCAGGGTACAAACCGCATTTTTCGGCGCCTGCGGCGGGCATCTTTTGCATTCGTTCCCGGTGGAGAACCCGCGGCCCACCCGCGACCCAAACCACGTTCAGTGTACAAACCAATTTTTTTGGCGCCTGCGGCGGGCTGCTTTTGCATTCCTTCCAGGTGGAGGTGGAGAGCCCGCGACCCACCCGCGACCTAAACCACGTTCACTGAACAAACCAATGCCGCACAAGCGCGGCGGCGGATTTTCGCATGCCGTCTGAGCCCGCAAAGACCTCTTCAAGCCCCGCGCATCCACACCAGCCCGTCCAGCAACTCTGCCCTGGCGAGTTGCCTTGATCAGAGAAGGCGGGGAGCATAAAGAGGAAAAAAGGATTTCGTTGCAGTTATCTTGGGAAAGGAGGGGGAGGCAGGAGGAGTAAACAGGGGACGAGGAGAACGCGGAAGAAGAGAGGATGTAAGGAGAATGTGTGAAAGGAAAGGAGGAGGAGCAGGAGGGTGAGGAGGGGGAGGAGGGGGAGGAGGGGGAGGAGGGGGAGGAGGAGGGGAGGAGGGGGAGGATGGTGATGATGGACGACAATGGGAGGACGATGATGGAGGCCGATGAGGGGGAGGACGACAATGGGAGGACGATGATGAAAGGACGAGGGGGGGAGAGGGAGGACGAGGAAGAAGAGGAGGAGGACGAGGTGGAGGAGGAGGATTACGATGACGATGAGGACGAGGACGAGGAAGAGGAGAAGGAGGAGGAGGAGGAGGAGGAGAGCGCCATCGACAGGGACGGTGGGGGCCACGAGGTCCGCCGGCTCGACGACGCCCGCGTCGCCCGCGCCCGCCCCCTCACTCTTATCCGCAATTGCGGGGTGGTACGGTAAGTATTCGAATCTACCAACCCCTTCTTTTATGTCTCCTTTCTCGATCCATCCCTCACTCATCCTCCCTCCTCCTCCCACCTCCGCATCCTCCTGGATGGGGGGAAGAGGCTTCAAGATCCCCGCGATCGAGAATCTGGGTGGGACCAACGACGCCTACGAGTGCATCGACTTTAGCGATAACGATCTGATCAAGCTCGGCAACTTCCCCCCGCTGAAGCGGCTCAAGATTTTGATGCTGACGAACAACAGGATCAGCCGAATTGCAGAGGATGCGTTCTCGACGCTGCCGAATTTAGTGTCTGTTGTGCTCACAGGCAACAAGCTCGAGAAGTTGGTAGATCTCGAGCCTCTGACAAAGCTGAAGACCTTAGAGCGACTGACGCTACTCGAGAACCCTGTCACCAAGGTCAAGCACTACAGGCATGTCCTCCCTCCGATCTCCACCCTCTCGCTCTGATCCCTCGTTCTCCCCTTCTCGTCCTACATCTTACTCCTCCTGCCCCCCCCCTCCCTCTTCACCTCTTCCTGCCTCCCTCCTCTGTCTCGCCCTTCTCGTCCTCCGGCTCATCACCCTCCTGTGCGCTGCCCCACCTCCCCCCTCCACCTTACACTCCCCCCTGCCATCGCGAGTCTCCTATTCTCCCCCCCCCCGGCCCCGTGCTCCTCCTCGCCCAGCCTCCCGCCCTCTGCTCCCCGCCCGCCGCTGCCGCCCCCGCCACTGCGAGGCCCTACATGATCCAGACGTGCTCCAAGACGCTCCGCATCCTGGACTTCAACCGGATCAAGGACAAGGAACGCAAGGCCGCGGGGCTGCTCTTCGCCGGCGAGCGCGGGAAGAAGCTCGTCGAGGAGATCGACGCCCTGCTGCCGCCGCTCCCCCGCCTCCCCCCTCCTCTCCTCGCTCTCCCCTCCTTCCCCCCGCGGCCCCTCGAGAGCCGATCTGTTCCTGAGGCTTCCCGGGCGTCTTGTGAGGGAGCTTTGGGGGCCCCCGTCCTCGTCCTGCCTCCTCCCTCCCGGTGCTCCCAGGGCGCTCCCTGGGCGCACCTGGAGCGTTCCCTGGGCGCTTCCCCCGGGCCGCTCCCAGGGCCGCTCCCAGGGCGCACCCAGGGAGCGCGCGAGGCGCTCCTGGACCACTCCCAGGGCGCTCCGAGGGCGCTCCGAGGGCGCTCCCAGGGCGCACCCAGGGCGCTCCCGCGAAGGGCAGGCCGAGGGTGAACGAGGACAACTCGTTCCATGCCGCTCGCTCTGGAACAGCCGCGGCGCCTGACACATCCTCGAGACCCGCCAGCCCTCAGAGATTGCCGAGCTATCCTCACTGCGACGTCGGTCGAACCCCAACCCTGCCAAGGCGATCGGCGAGTTGGCCTTTGTCGGCTCTTAAGCGGGTGCCGCGGCCGCAATCTCTGCGGGCCTGGGCCCGCCGTACCTTGCCCAGGGCCGTGTTCCATTCAGGGGCGTTGTGTTGAAGAGGATCTCTGCACCCCCGACTCGTCTTGGCATCGGTCGGACGTGTGCATGTTTGTCCCGTCGAGACCAGCGCCAGAACAAATCTGGACCACCGAGGCGCACCTTGGCTCATCCTGCGAGCAAGCAACGATATCAACGCACGAAACCGAACACCGCGCTGGGAATGGACGTCCAAGCGACGGCAAGTCATCCGATCTGTCCCCCCACCCTGCCTTCGCCTCAGTGCCCCGTCTTGTGGGCGCGGAACACGTCCACATCCACGGCTTCGCGGGCCGGGCCCCCTGGGCCGCGAGCCCACGGATCTGCGAGGCGCTTTTGTTGGCGGATGCCCCGCGCGGCACACATGATTTTTTTCATAACGTGGGCCCCCAGAGGTCTGTACCCCTTCCCAGGGGCCAGGTTCTCATCCCGAGTCGTTCTTTGACAGCCTGGTGACCCAGTGATGGCCCCGGGGCTGGTACAGAACGACTGAGAAAGCCAAAGGCTGAACATTGCCAAGAGCTTCCTGTCATGTGTTATCAAGAGGAGCATGTTGGTTGTTGGTTGTTCGATTCATAACTCGGCCCACCAGCGGCCGTTCGGGACGCTTCAGGCACCCCAAGAACGCCCTCGGCGAGGCGCAGCTGCTGGAACGCATCTCGAGGCTGCAAATCCGTCGAGAACCGACGGAAGTTTCCGAGAACCTCGAACCCCGAACCTCGAACCCCGAGTCCGAAGACCGCGAGAGCATGGGTGTGGATGCGCTTGCCGCCCGTGCCCCTCCCCCTCCCCGAGGAGATCGCGCCCCCCCGGGCGGTGGGCAGCGAGCCGGCCGCGCAGGTCGCGGAGGCGGCCAAGACGGGCCCCACGCCGGAGGTCATCGAGCGCATCAAGAAGGCAATCGCGGAGGCTCGGGTCGGGCGAAAGGGGGGGATTGGGAAAGGGGGGGTTACGAAATCTGCTGCATGCAGCTGGTTTCGGCCCCACCGAGGGCCCCATTCCTCGACACATGGCCGCCTCCCGGCGCCGAGAGGCGCTGGGAAAATCAGCTGCGTGAGCTGATTCTCAAACCCCCCCTTTGCCATCCCCCCCTCTCGCCCGACCCGAGAGGCCGAGACGATCGAGGAGGTGACGCGGCTGGAGCGGGCCCTCAAGAGCGGCGTCCTGCCGGAGGACCTCCAGGGGGCTGCCGTCGAGGGCGCCGGCGGGCCCGCGGTAGAGGCGCCCGGGATATGTTCGTCGTCCCGCCTCTCCCGGCTCCCCATTCGTTCTCTTCGCCGCTGTTCTTTTTCTTCTTCGTCTTCTTCTTTTTTTTATCCCCCTCTTCTTCTTATTATTATTCTTCTCTTCTTCTTCTTTTTCTTATCCTCCTCTTCTTCTTCTTTTCCTTATCCTCCTGTTCTCTGTTCTCTTCTTCTTCCATCCTCCTCCCCCTCTTCGTCACCGTGCCTGCTCTTCCTTCCCCTTGCCATTATTTCGGGTTCGGACAGAACCCCCAACAGGGACACGTCGATTAGTGAATTGTGCGTTTTCGGTTCTCGAGAGGGCGCCGCGGCCGTTATTCTCCAGGCTTGCGCCCGCCAGGTTTGGGCCTCGGGTCGTTTTCACTAAACCACGTTTTACTAAAGGGAGGTCTGTCCATCCCCGATTCTTATCCTTGTTCTTTGTTCTCTTCTTCTTTCATCCTCCTCCCCCTCTTCGTCACCGTGCCTGCGCTCTTCCTTCCCCTCGCCATCATTGTTCCGCGTCCTCCTTCTGCTCCTCCTCGGTCCCTCCATCCCTCCCTCGACCCTCTCTCTCCGTCACTCTATCCGTCATCATCTCCCTCGCTCCTCCATCTCCGTCTCTCCGTCATCCTTTCTTCTGTCATCCCCCGTCCTCCCGCCGCGCCCCTGCGAAGGCACCCAAGGAGGACAGCATGAAGGTGGACGGCTGAGTGTTGGCCTGGATGTCATAGTGAAAGCAGGCGCCTCCTCCTCACTCCTCCTCCCATTCAGTTCCCTGCTCCTCTGTCCCCTCCTTCTCCCTTATCCATCTGGCCCTCATCCTTCTCATCCTCCCTGTGGATGCCGTAGTGAAAGCGGGTACATCTGAAAGAGGCTCAAGGTATGATGGTTCGCTTTCGCACGTAAAGCGCAGATACTCATAGGAACAGCAGGACAAGGAGGCAAGCATCGGAAAAGGAGATGGAGGGGAAGGATGGGGGAAGAGGGAGGATGGAGGCAAGAGGAGGAGCAGGAAGGTTGGAGGATGTAGGTCAACGGAGGTAGGGT